CGATCCGGTTCAAATCTCGGGGAACCATTGCTTTTTCATAGACAATAATAAGGAGTTGTCACCTCTCAGAAAAAGGTTTTTTTCCCCTTTTAAAATAAACAATTGAAAAGGGTTTTATAAAGTGATAATTTTTTTTAAAGCGAAAAAGCCGGGTAAATTTTCTTTCAAAACACAGTACCCCGCGAAAATCTTAAAATACGTTTTGTATCATAACTTTAAAGTTTGGGAGAATTTCATGTGTTTTTACAAGAAATGATATCGTGAAAAGGAATAATTGTTTCTCACCGAGTCTGCGTGTCCTCAAATTCGACGTAAAAATGTTTCTTTCGACAAAAATTAAAATCACAGTTGTATAAAACAATAGAACTAAATGCAAATGTGAGAGAAATTGGAATTAATACGTACGAATTGTTCGTCCCGAATGACTCCATGTGGTCTATGGTTAGATTCCTGGCTTTCACCCAGGCGGCCCGGGTTCGATTCCCGGCGTGGGAAAGTCAGGTTCCATTTTGTAATGATTAGCACTCTGAATCCAGCGATCCTATTTCAAATCTCGGTGGAACCTTATATTTTGCAATAGATGGTATTGAAACCTATCACAATATGTACATCTCGAATTCAGAACTGGTAAGAGTTGGAAAAGACGGAATTTTTAAAAGAAAATAAAAATTTTGATGATAAAAACATTAATTTTCTATGTATATAAAAGTAACAAGGGCCTTTTGAGGCAGACGAAATTTTTTAAATGAGGCTAATAAATTTTAAAATTTCTGTTGAATAGTTTGTTTACATTCGTTTAAAATTAATGTTCTTTTCAGGCATATTTCAAAAAGTTATTATAAAAATTCAATCCCAATTTACATTATGCTCTATCGAATTGCGCACAAAGTGTTTCAATAGTCACCAAGGATGATAACGCCTGTAGCGGCTTCTGAAAACATTTAATATCCCGTTACGGGTTCAAAACAGGAAAACTATTTAAGAATTCTTACACAAACAATGATGTACCCATATATAAAATTCCTTATGAACGCCGAGCCTCGGTAGCGCAGTAGACAGCGCGTCAGTTTCATAATCCACATTTTGGATAAATCTGAAGGTCGTGAATTCGATCCTCACCCGGGGCATTCAGTTTTAATTTTTGGAGCCGTCTTAGATTGAAAGCGTCTGTCTCGAGCTTAAATGCTTATGATCTCGAAATTTTCATTTCAATTTTGATTTGATGCAATGGATTGTGCTTTTACTCTTTAAAAAATTCAAAGTTGTTTACATTTCGAGAAAGATGATGTAAAATATATTTGTTTCGGTAAACATGGATTCAGAACTAGAAAACTGACTAAAAATACTTCAAATAGTGAATCAAAACTTACATAAAGGAATACAGACGTTGTACTTTTAGGAAAAGCAGGATGTGTTTCAAGGGAGTCCCATGTGGTCTAGTGGTTAGGATTCCTGGCTCTCACCCAGGCGGCCCGGGTTCGATTCCCGGCATGGGAAGTTTGGGTTCCATGGTGTAATGGTTAGCACTCTGGACTTTGAATCCAGCGATCCGAGTTCAAATCTCGGTGGAACCTTTATTGCTTTTACATACGACAATAATATAGGAGTTGTCACCTCTCAGAAAGGTTTTATCCCTTTCAAAATAAATCGGAATCTGAAAGGTTATATAAGAGTGATAATTTTTTTAATGCGAAAAAGCCTGTATCGTAAATTTTCTTTCCAAGAAACACAGTACCCAGCGAAAATCTTAAAATACGTTTTGTATCATAACTTTAAAGTTTGGGAGAATTTCATGTGTTTTCACAAGAAATGATATCGTGAAAAGAATAATTGTTTCTCTACCGAGTCTGCGTGTCCTCAAATTCGACGTAAAAAATGTTTCTTTCGACAAAAATTAAAATCACAGTTGTATAAAAACAATAGAACTAAAGATGTGCAAATGTGAGAGAAATTGGAATTAATACGTACAATTGTTCGTCCCGAATGACTCCCATGTGGTCTAGTGGTTAGGATTCCTGGCTTTCACCCAGGCGGCCCGGGTTCGATTCCCGGCGTGGGAAAGTCAGGTTCCATTTTGTAATGATTAGCACTCTGAATCCAGCGATCCTATTTCAAATCTCGGTGGAACCTTATATTTTGCAATAGATGGTATTGAAACCTATCACAATATGTACATCTCGAATTCAGAACTGGTAAGAGTTGGAAAAGACGGAATTTAAAAGAAAATAAAAATTTTGATGATAAAAACATTTATTTTCTATGTATATAAAAGTAACAAGGGCCTTTTGAGGCAGACGAAATTTTTTAAATGAGGCTAATAAATTTTAAAATTTCTGTTGAATAGTTTGTTTACATTCGTTTAAAATTAATGTTCTTTTCAGGCATATTTCAAAAAGTTATTATAAAAATTCAATCCCAATTTACATTATGCTCTATCGAATTGCGCACAAAGTGTTTCAATAGTCACCAAGGATGATAACGCCTGTAGCGGCTTCTGAAAACATTTAATATCCCGTTACGGGTTCAAAAACAGGAAAACTATTTAAGAATTCTTACACAAACAATGATGTACCCATATATAAAATTCCTTATGAACGCCGAGCCTCGGTAGCGCAGTAGACAGCGCGTCAGTTTCATAATCCACATTTTGGATAAATCTGAAGGTCGTGAATTCGATCCTCACCCGGGGCATTCAGTTTTAATTTTTGGAGCCGTCTTAGATTGAAAGCGTCTGTCTCGAGCTTAAATGCTTATGATCTCGAAATTTTCATTTCAATTTTGATTTGATGCAATGGATTGTGCTTTTACTCTTTAAAAAATTCAAAGTTGTTTACATTTCGAGAAAGATGATGTAAAATATATTTGTTTCGGTAAACATGGATTCAGAACTAGAAAACTGACTAAAAATACTTTAAAGGAACAAAAACATAAAGGAAAAGGTTTTATTTTTTGGGAAAACGGATTTTTCAAGGGGTCCATGTGGGCTAGGGGTTGGGGGTTCTGGCTCTCACCCGGGGCCCGGGTTTGATTCCCGGATGGGAAGTTTGGGGCCAGGGGAAAGGTTGCACTTGGGCTTTTGAACCGCGTCCGAGTCAAACCCCGGGGGAAACCCTTTTTTGCTTTACATTGGGTTTTATAGGAGTTGTCACCTCTAGAAGGTTTTATCCCTTTTAAAATAAAACGAATTAAAAGTTATATAAGAGGATAATTTTTTTTAACGAAAAAATGACAAATTTTTTTTCCCAAAAAACCAAAATACCCCCGAAAATCTTAAAATACGTTTTGTATCAAACTTTAAAGTTTGGGAAATTTCCTGTGCCAAGAAAAATACGTGAAAAGAATAATTGTTTCTACCGAGTCTTGGCCTCAAATTGACGTAAAAATGTTTTTCGACAAAAATTAAAATCACAGTTGTATAAAACAATAAACAAAGATTTAAAAAAGTGAGGGAAATTAATTACGTCAATTGTTGTCCGGGGACTCCCATTTGGGCTGGGTTTTAATTTGGCTTTCCCCAGGCGGCCCCGGGGGCTTCCCGGCGGGGAAAGGGGCCCGGGTTAAATTTTGACCGAATAGACCTATTTCAAATTTTCGGTGGAACCCTTAATTTTTTCAATAGATGGTATTGAAACCACCAATATTACATCTCGAATTCAGAACTGGTAAGAGTTGGAAAGGGAATTTAAAAAAAAAAAAAAATTTTGATGATAAAAAAATTTTTTTTCTATGTATATAAAAGTAAAAGGGCCTTTTGGGGAGACAAATTTTTTTAAAAGAGGCTAATAAATTTTAAAATTTCTGTTGAATATTTGTTTCTTCGTTTTAAAATTTTTAAAGTTCTTTTAGGCATATTTCAAAAAAATTAAAAAAACCCAATTTACATTATGTCTATCGAATTGCGCAAAAAGTGTTTCAATATCACAAGGATATAACGCCTGAGCGGCTTCGAAAAAAATTTAATATCCCGTTCGGGTTCAAAAACAGGAAAACTATTTAAGAATTTTACACAAACAATGATGTACCCATATATAAAATTCCTTATGAACGCCGATCCTCGGTAGTGCAGTGTATACGCGTCAGTCCTTTTCATAATCCACAAATCGGAGAAATATGAAGGTCGTAGAGTCTGGATCCTCACCCGGGGCATTCAGTTTTGATTTTTGGAACCGTCTTAGATTGAAAGCGTCTGTCCGAGCTTAAATGCTTATGATCTCGAAATTTTCATTTCACTTTGATTGATGCAATGGATTGCTTTGACTCCTTTTAAAAAAATTCAAAGTTGTTTTTTACATTTCGAGAAAGATGATGTAAAATATACTTGTTTCTGTAAAACATGGATTCAGAACTAGGAAAACTGACTAAAGTAGTCACTTTGAAATGTTGAATCAATACTTACATAAAGGAATAAGCAGACGTTGTAACATTTAGTGCAGGATGTGTTTCAAAGAGTCCCATAAAATCTAGTGGTTAGATTCCTGGCTCTCACCCAGGCGGCTCCGGGTTCGCTTCCCTATGCTGCAGTTTGGGTTCCATGGTGTAATGTTAGCAACTCTGGACTTTGAATCCAGCGATCCGAGTTCAACACTATGATACTTATCGGGTCATTGCTAGGAGTTGTCACCTCTACGAAAGGCTTCATCCCTTCAAAAATAAATCGGAATTTGAAAGGTTATGCGTAAGAGTGATATTTTTAATGCGAAAGCCTGTATCGTAAATTTTCTTCCAAGAAACACATTACCCAGCGAAAAGTCTTAAAAATACGTTTTGTATCATAACTTTAAAAGTTTGGGAGAATTTCATGTGCTTTCACAAAGAGCCTTGAGTTATCGTGAAAATAATAATTGTTTCTCTACTGAGTCTGCGTGTGTCCTCAAATTCGTCGTAAAAAGGCTTCTTTCGACAAAAATTAAAATCACAGTTGTATAAAAACAATAGAACTAATGATGTACAAAATGTGAGAGAAACTGGAATCACTTACAAATTGCCGTTCCTGAATGACTCCCGCATGTGGGTCTAGTGGTTAGTATTCCTGGCTCTCACACCCAGGGGCCCGGGTTCTATTCCCGGCATTGGGAAGTTTGGGTTCCATGGTGTATCGGTTACACCTGGACTTTGAATCCAGCGATCCGAGTTCAAAACTCGGTGGAACATTCATTGCTTTTTACATATGACAATAATATAGGAGTTGTCACCCCTCTCAGAAAGGTTTTATCCCCTTCAAAATAAATCCGAATCTGAAAGTTTATAAGTGAAAGTGAAAAATTTTTAATGCAAAAAGCCTGTATCGCAGTTCTCTTTCAAAGAAACACAGTAACCCAGCGAAATCTTAGAATACGTTTTGTATCATAACTTTAAAGTTTGGGAATTTCATGTGTTTTCACAAGAAATGATATCGTGAAAAGGAATAATTGTTTCTCTTACCGAGTCTGTGTGTGTCCCTCAAATTCGACGTGTAAAAAATGCTTCTTTCGGAAACAAATTTAAATCCCCGAAGTTGTATAAAACAATAGAACTGTTGAAGTGCAAATGTGAGAGAAATTGGAATTAATACGTACAATTGTTCGTCCCGAACGACTCCCCTTGTGGTTCATAGTTAGACTGGCTTTCACCCAGGCGGCCCAGGTTCGATTCTCGGCGTGGGAAAAGCTGGGTTCCATGGTGTATCGATTAGCACTCTGAATCCAGCGATCCTATTTCAAATCCGGTGGAACCCATGTATTTCGCAATAGATGGGGTATTGAAACCCATCACAATATATACATCTCGAATTCAGAACTGGTAAGAGTTGGAAAAAGACGGAATTTATAAAAGAAAATAAAAATTTTGATGATAAAAACATTAATTTTCTATATATAAAGTAACAAGAAGCCTCAGGCAGACGAAATTTTGAAATGAGGGTAATAAATTTTAAAATTTGTTGAATAGTTTGTTTTCATTCGTTTAAAATTAATGTTCTTTTCATAGGCATATTTCAAAAAGTTATTATAAAATTCAACCCACTTAGCATTATGCTCTATCGAATTTGCGCACAAAGTGTTTCAATAGTCACGAAGATGATAACGCCTGTTAGCTTCTGAAAACACTACTGTAAAATCGGGCGTATAACGCGCATCTAGGCTTTCGTTGATTTTTTTAATTTTAGGAATATTCTTGCCGTATAACGCGCACCTCCTTTTAGCGAAGAAATCTGAAATATTAGTATACATTACTTTTATGTTTTGAAATCATTTTATTCGGAGGTATTATCCCCCAAACTTTTGAAAATAGTATGCTTATAGAACTACTACTCTTTAGTTCGTAAGGGAAAATCGTTTTTAATTAAACAGTGTTTCGATACATGTGGAAGTTTTTTTATGCGTTCGTTGATATTTTGCTATTTTAAAGCTACCTACTTTTATACCCAGAGTATAACGCGCATTGTTAAGTTTCGGTCTTATTTTTGTGTTCAAAGTGCGCAAGTATACGCCGGATTTACAGTGTACATCCCGTTACCGTTCCAAAACCCGGATCGTAGGAAAAATTTTTAAGAATTCTTACACAAACGATGACGTACCCATATATGAAATTCTACGCCCGTTTGAGCCTCGGTAGCGTAGTAGGCAACGCGTCAGTCTCATAAATCTGAACTTGGAGAAATCTGAAGGCTGAGTTCGACCCTCACCCGGGGCCTTTCAGTTTTTGATTTTGGAGCCATCTTTAGATTGAAAGCGTCTGTCTCGAGCGTAATGCTTATGATCTCGAAATTATCATTTCACTTTTTGATTTCGCAATAGATTGCTTTTAAATTTTAAAGTTCAAATTTGCTTACGTTTCTCTCGAGAAAGATGGTAAAATATTTGTTTCTGTATACATGGATTCAGAACTAGAAAACTGAATTAAAAAAATACCTCAAATGTTGAACTAAAATTAGATAAAAGCGAATACAGACGTTGTATTTTTAGGAAAAGCAGGATGGCCTTCAAGGGAGCTTCCATGGTCTAGTGGTTAGATTTCTGGTTCTAACCCGGGCGGCTCCAGGTTCGGATTCCTTAAGTGCTGTGGAAGTTTGGGTCTATGGTGTAAAGGTTAGCATTCTGGACTCTGAATCCAGCGATCCGAGTTTAAATCTCGGTGGATCGTTACATTTTGCTCACAGATGGTACGGGAAACCCTTTTCGCAACATACATCGGGATTTCAAAACTTGTAAGATTAGAAAAGACAAAATTTTAAAAAAGAAGATTAAAATTTTGATGAAAAAAACTTTAATTCTATGTATGTAAATGTAACAACAAAAGGTTCTTTTGAGGCAGAGGAATTTTAAATGAGCTGTGATATTTCATTCTAGGTGACCATATCTTTGATTGTCAGCTGTTTAGAGATGGGGGATTCCAAAATGAATCGACATTTTAAAATTTTTAATATGACTTTATTAAGAATATAAATTAAATTTCGAATAAATTAGATATTTAGAAGTTAGAATAAACCAATCACACAGCAATAGTTAAACCTTATCGCGTAACTTAGATCACTTATCTAAATAATCATATTTCCGCCTCCTTCAATTTCTGTTAATATTTTCAAGTCCTAATATCAAATAATCAGTCCTACCTTAATCCAAAAAAGATTCTATCACAGTACGAGTTGTTCGGGCTTTGTGCGTGCAATGGTATGCACCTTGTATCAATGGCTGAATATACCGGTAACTTTTGGATAGGCCATCAATTCACCTCGTATCCCTTCTAAACATAACTTCAACCTAAATTGCCATTCTGTTTACTGAAAAATTTTGTTCTTTTAAAAGCTATTTTATTTGCATTTCACAATTGCATTTACTCTTGGATTTGGGTTGGAAAAGATTTGCCATTAATCTTCGTCAAAAAAAACTAGAGGTTATGTTACAGGGAAAAGACCCTGAGCCCGTCACAACTCCAGAAAAAAAACGTGATTTATTCGAGAGTCTTAATGGCCTTTAAGAAATTACGTGCCCCAAATTTTATTTCTTAATCTCCCCCACTTTCCAAGTTTTTTTTAAAATTTTTAAACCCTTTAATCTTCATTATAACTATGAATTTTCAATATTAAACTTAAATTTAATTTCATTTTTTTTAAATTTTAATTTTCATTATTTATCTTAAATTTAATTTTGAATATTCCTCCTTAATTTAAACTCTTGACAGCCACAATAAATTTTCTCAATTAATTAGACCAACATCAACAATTTCATTTCGGGTTTTGGTAGATTCTCACTTTTAAAC